TTTAAATTACCTACTCAGTGACAATTTTATCTAACTTTTGATGTCTAAATTTAACAGAAGGATTTACATAACAGATTTTAGAAGGATATTCAGTCTGTTTTTATTTATTTTTTTAAAATAGAAATGGGCTAAATCAATGCTGATGTAGATGTAGAATACTTAAAAAATGTTAAATATATGTCAGGAGCTGTGCTAGCCAGTGGAGTATACAAACATGCATGAGAAATTCTGTGCTTAGTGATCAAAAACTAGTGTGTAAAATCCTACAGAAGCTTTAATTAAACAGGAGCTTCATAGACTTTGGTAGTTGCAGATTCTTTTCATTGCTGTGCTTAAAACATTAAAAACTGGCTAGGATTGTGTGCCCCATTTCAGTGTGAAACAGATTTGCTGAAGTACTGATTTTTTGCCTTAGTTGGTTTCATAGAATAACATGAGCTCTGAAATGAAATTTGATTGTATCTTATAAGCATCCACATCCAAGAGGTGTAAAAAGAATGTCTGGCCTTTTAAGACAAATCATTCTTCAATTTGAGTGGTAACTTTTCTACTTGACGGAGTATTTTTGTACAGTAGTTTCCAACTCCATCACCACATTTCTATAGCTGGTTTTTAGAAGACCATGTGATTTATATACAGTTAAGATCAAAGTAGGAAGAAAAAAAAAGTTTTTAACATAACATTTTCACACCTTTTGTATAAATCACTTTTCCCCAGAGGCATTTTCTTTTCCATTTAAAAATGTTTTGGTGCTTTTAAAATAACTTCATCTGATTTATGAGTGTCATAGTATTGTTTAAATTCCCTAAAAGGCTTTCCAATATGATCTAAGTAGTGATGACAGAAAATATTAGGATGAATTACAATGTCAGTATTAGGATGCATTTTTCAAAAAGTGGGTTTAAATCAATGGCTGATCTGCAAAGATGATACTAACCCCTCATAGGAATGCCCCCACTTTTGACAAATCTGTTAAATGAAAATTCAGTTTTAGGAAAACAAAGTGAATTTATCTTTTGGTAATTAAACACTCAATACTGTTTAATATTTTTTATAGTATCTTCTACTTCTAGAATGTTAAATTTCATTGAATACATTGAATGCATTCAATATATTTACATTTGGTTGTATGGACTAAGGAAGAGTTACTGAGCCCTGTACTCCTGGGCTGTTCATAGAGCCTTTTGTACATCAATATGCCAGTGATAAAGCTGGCCATGGATGGTGCACTCTGGGTTGTACCATCCAAGTCTGCTACCCTAGTAGCTAAAGTACACTCAGATTCTCATCCACTTCAGAGTTTTCCTGTGCACACTCTAATACCAGTGGTACCATAGAGTAGGCACTTGGAACATACTTAGTCAACTATTTACTAAGATTTTTTTTTTGTACTTTATTTTTTAATCTTTACCCGAGGATATGTCTATTGATGAGAAAGAGAAACATCGATTGGTTGCCTCCTATACACGCCCCAACTGAGGATCAAACCCACAACCTAGGTATGTGCCCTGACTGGAGACTGAACCCACAACCTTTTGGTGTACAGGGTGATGCTCCAACCAACTGAGCTACCTGGCCAGGGCACCAAGAATTTTAAGCTTCACATTTTCCAGTGAATGACTATCACTTAAAATGTTTATTTGTCAGACCAGATCACAGTACGGTTGACCCTTGAGCAACACACTTTTGAACTGTGTGTGTCCACTTATATGCAGATTTTTTTCAATAAATATATAGAAAATTTTTTTTGAGATTTCCTCACTACTGTTAAGTAGTCATATATCAATTACAGTTAGGCTACCATAAAGTAATTGTATTGCCACTAATTCATTATCCATACATGAATCAGTATACCTGAAAATAAATATGAATTTTTTTCATTTTTTCATTTTTGATATCTAATGTAATACATATAACATGTACTGTGTTTTGTATCATATAAGACAATACTGATGTAGGTACTGACAGATGATCTTATAAACAGATGACAAACCTACGGTACCAACAAATACAATAAGTACTATAAACATTTTCTCTTCCTTGTGATTTTAACATTTTTCTTTTCTCTAGCTTTATTAAAGAGTACAGCAAACATTTAATACATATAACGTACAAAATATGTGTTAATCCATTGTTTCTGTTAAGGCTTCTGGTCAACAGTAGGCTTTCAGTATAATTTTTTAGGGAACCAAGATATTCTCGGACTTTCGACTGCAGGGGGTCAGTGTCCCTGTACCCTGCAACACTCAAGGGTCAAATGTACTTTCTTCAGTATTTTTTTTTTTTAAGTTTATGAAAGAGAAGAGTTCAAGGGAGATTTACCTCCATTTTTTTTTTTTTCTGTCTAGTCTGGTAGATGGCAAAGTATAGGGTAGGAGGGGAGGTGGTGGATTGGGTGTATTAAAGAATAGTAAAGGTATGAACAGTGTTCCTGGGTAATGGGAAAAGGTCATACCAATAATTGCTAGGCTACGTTAAAGGCTTGCCTAAGGCTGAAGAACATAGTAGCACTAACCTGTAGTCTTGGGTACTTTCTGAAACTCTCTAGATAAAGTGTGGGTCTAGAAAGGCTGATGATTACATTGACTCAGTGTTCCAGGTTTTGCTGAGATGTGATAGGCAGGGTCAAGGTTGTTGAGAATTCGCAAGAGTGGTTGAAACAGTGAGACCTGTGTTCTGGTAGGAAAGTGGAACTAGAAAGAGGCCATGGGACAGGAGTGGGGGGTTTGCTGTGTATGTTATTTTTTATTTACAGATTTATTTCTGCTAAATACAGGCCATACAGGAACTAATGAAAATCCATGGACAAGATCCTGTTTCATTTCAAGATGTCAAGGTTACTTTTTCCTTTAATTTATGTAACACCATATAATAATTTGTATTAAATGAAGTTTTATATGAAAACAACTTACGAACTATAAAGTACTGAATCAAATCAAGTATTTGCTCTTACTTGTTCCAGTGATATTTAAGTCACTAGAAACTAAAGGCCATGCTTCAACTAATGATTTTTGTAGTTTGATTTTAGCATTTTCACTCTTGTGTTATCACTGAAATCATTCCTTCATTTCGATTGAAAATTAAGAGAATCAATATGGCTTGTATACTCTGGCAAGTAATTCCACTGTAAACTGAATTTTTAACTATTTAGGTTGGGGCACACGTTTAGTCTCCTCCTTCAAAGGGTTTGTCTGCTTTGGTATTATTTAAAGAGACATCAATCTTACAATATGAAAACTATCACTATTTGAAACACATGCTGTTACTTAGCACTTCAGTACTGACACTTTCCCCAGCTATGGAAAACAATGAGTATCCAGCATCAATTCAGGTTCAAGTTGAGTATTGTATTAAAACAACTCACTGAATTATAACCAAGTATAAGAAAAAGGGCTATTTTGGTTTAATATAAATGAGACCAATTTTAAACTGTGCAACAAGCAGTTTAAGAACTAGTTCATTTTAAATAGCCATCAACCTAGAAAAGGAAGTTTCACAAACATATAAAAGTTCATACTTTTCATTCACCTGAATTGTTCTTTTGAAAATGTAATTTTCCTTTAATGATACTAAGTACTGAGTAATTTTACTACAAAAGATTAGAAAACATGTACTAATTCCTTGTAAATATTCATATAGTACCTTTAATAATATAGAAGTTCTTCCTTCTATTCCAGTAAGTTTTAACACAATTTCATGTCATTTTGGATGACTAATTCTTTAACACCAACCTCCTACACCCATCCTAGGTCCAGAGTAAAAGGTTGACATCAATATTGGAACAAAGCTTTGTCATAATCTTGGCTCTGAAGCATGTAAGTTTTTACTTTGAGCTGAGTTTGCATTTAAATTAAATGAAGGCTTTGCTTTCCCACCAACAAAAGTAGTTAACATGTATTCAAAGAACACTGCATTTGATAGTTTAGCTATTAATTAGCTATAGTTTGTGTTATAAACTCTGAGCCTGTTTTTTCCTCAATGAGGGATAGTTATCACATATCTAAGGAATCTTCCAATACAATTCTGTGATTGTACATAGAGAAAAAGAAACTACCTGTTGAATAGAGGAAAATAAACTGGAACAAAAATTTTATATAAGCTTAAGTGCTGAATTTTAGGTTACTGTGTGACAAATTAAGTGAATCATATATCTCATTGTATATCTTCTCTCTTTTAGGATGAAATCTTTGACATGGTAAAACCAAAGGATCCTTTGAAAATCTCTCTTCAGGATTTAATTAACAGTAATCAAGGAGACACAGTCACCACCATTCTAATCGATCTGAATGGCTTCTGGACTTATGAGAACAGGGAAGCCCTTGTTGCAAATGACAATGAAAATTCTGCAGACCTTGATGATACATGATCTCTCAAAGACCATACTATATTCATTAAGATAAGTTGAATGCTGTATGTAAAACCTTTCAAGCAGAATCTTTAGAAATGGTCTAAATAAAACACTTTACATGACAATAGAACACAGCAAATGTTCTCATTATTGGAATTAATAGTTTGGAAGCAATAGGATCAAATTAGGAAGCAGTAAATTCTGGTTCTGCTTAGCTCAAATATGGCGAGTGTGATTTGGTGAAGGTAGAAGTCCACTTCAACTCTGTGTAACCTTCAGGGATAAAGGAAGTTTTCAGGGAATATTTCTGACAGTCATTAAGAATTTGAATATCAGAAAGTGTAAATTATAATGTGGTAATTTAACCTTGAGTATTCTACTAAAGTATTATGCATATCAAAAACTACAGACTTTCCCATTCATTTCATTTCTGGGTTAGAAGTGTTTAGATAAGATTTTTTTTAAAAAAGTTAATATTTTACATTAATTAAAATCATTGGCATAAAATAAATTGTCTAGCTTTATTAACCAGTTTTTTGTTAAGGACTGTCATTAGAGAATTTAATTCACTGTAAAGGTTCTCAATTACACTATGTTTAGTTTTTATGATAAAAGATTAGAAGAGGACAGAATATCATGAATTATGGTCCAGAGGGAACAGTAAATATTAAAAGGGTTGAAAGAAAAACTGGAGGAGACTTAAAAAATAAGACAAAACCATTTAATGCATTTATGGGAAATGTTCTAGTTTGCATAAATAAAAATATAAAAAATTTAAGGCACAGTGTATATAACCATATAAACATTACAAACTGGCCACTGTTGGACAAATAAAGTAAAATTCAAGAAACATAAAACATAGAGTAGAAGTCATTATCTTCCTTCTGCTATAATTAGCAAAGTTTCTAGTTTTCAGATTACCATGTTTTAGAGCTATTGGTAAACTATAATTTACAGTGCCATTAATTATATAATCTGATTATTAATCCCGTAAACACTAAATTATGCAGGTTACACCCATGACTAATAAGATTACCATCACATGCCATGAACGACTCTATGAATCCATTTAACCAAAGATTCCTAATGAAGAGTCTTTCATAAATTCTTCAAATTTCAGTTAAAAAAACTGAACTTAGTGCCTAGATGTTCATGTTCATTAATAATAGAGTTCCAAAATAGGACCACTGTATGTGTGTTGTGAGATTCTTTGTATTTTATATAGATATATTTGCGATTGAAAGTTTAATGCTGTTTAGATAGCTATCAATAACCATTAATTTCTAAAAGCTCTTTAAGTTTGTGAATAAGCTTCTAAGAGCAATAATATCTGAACTATGCCACATAATCTTCCTTACCCACATTTAGTTATAAATCAAAACCATACAGATACAAGATTCTGAACACATATTTAAGAATATTTTCAAAATTAGTTCCGTACTATGTTTTTTTAATAAGTTTGGCTAACAGCACGGTGGATAGACAGATGGCCCATCTGGGACAGGCAAACTGTCCGCTTTACTGTTGTTACTTTGAAGTGGTGAATGACAACTACTTTCATTATGCTACCATTGCACCTTGTACAATATTTAACAGTAAGCCCCTGATGGTTAAATCTTCATCTGTGTCCCAATCTCAGCCCCCTCCCTGTAAGTACCTGGCCCGTAGGAGGCAGTAAGGGCTGAGAGAGTGACATAACCAGGGTGCCATGTGGATAATCACTAGGTATTGCCACTTGAAAACAAATACATTAATAAATTCATTCAATAACTAGTATTTTTAACATGTTCAAAATTAGTTATTTAATTTGAATAACTACTGAAAAGATTAAATAACCTACATTAAAAAAAGGAAACCAATCTTAATATTTGGTATTATAAACTCAGTCACCTTTCCATAAAATAGTTATTCTCAAGAAAATAAAATTCAAAGTGCTTTTTTTTATCTTGTTCCTTTTATTACAAACTCAATGAATCATCATCCTTAGTATGAAATTAATGGTTAGATATATAAATCTAAGACATGACATGAAAAAATGTAGGGGGGAAAAAATCCTCATTTTCATCTGAAATTAGGAACATCAGCTCCAATTAGCCTTAATCAGCAACCTACCCTTTTTTTTTTTTTTTTTAACAAACACAAATAACAGACAAGCATATGATCATTTAACTCTTAATTGCAGTTCGGGCTCTAAAATGTCCTTTACTTTATAAACACCATTTTAAAACCAAAACACTAATTTGACACACAGTAAAAGCATAGTACAAACACCAAATTTCAGATCTGACTTTTGCTAGATAGAGCCTATGAATAAAGAAAACATTTTCCCTTTTCCAGATAATAATTTAAAGTATAAATAACTATATTAAGTCTCACTGAATAGAGAATGTCCCAAGTTCCTGGTATGAAAACCACCATAGAGTTTGACATTTGAAGAGTCAATGCATTCTATGGTGGGACAGAGACTGGATTTTGTTTGCTTTCTGTAATTACTTCACATTCCCCCTCCATTTCAAAGTTGAGATTCACAAATGAATTGGTCACCACTGTTTCTGGTTGATCTGTCTGAACAGTGGAATCAGCCTGCATCTTATTCTGTTGGTATTGCCTTTCTGCTTCTTCAGACATCCTGTTTTCTTCTTCCTCCTCCTCCTCCTAAAAAGAGAAAAATATCAAGAATCGTTGAAATTTAAATGTCCAAATGGAATAGTATTTGTTCCCCCCCTTTTAACTGCGCGTGCATGCGCGCGTGTGTGTTAACCAAAACAGTATCATGTCAAATTCACTTGGGACTAATTAAGATATACTTCCTTTTCCCCATTCCCAAGTTTAAATGAAAACTGCTGTATGACATTTTAAAAGTGGTGTTATTTTTAAAACATGTACAGCACTGCATAGCTTAGATGAGACCTGAACTGATTTTGACAGGGGTGATACCTTTTCCAATTAATTCTAATATAAAAGAAATCTAGTCTAAAAGACTAGCTAATACTTTATCACTTCAATGGTAGGGTATCAGCCTGTTCATTGGAACACGGAGGTCTATTCACTAAACAGTATAGCATAGTTAATGGCTAACAGATAAGGCAATCTCTGTCCTCAAAAAGTTTGCAATCTAGGAGAGAAGTGAAGATGAGAAACAGCATTAAAACAGAAAGGAATAAGCACTATAGAGATTTAGAAAGAGTTAATTTCTAGTTCCAGAACTACTAACTTCATGGCGGGGATGGCATGTGTATCAGTCCCTGCAGTATGGGTAGATGATACAGAATGACTAATCTGTCAGGAAGATTAATCTAGAGCTTGAGAGTGAATGAGAAAGACCATTCAGGGAGGCCATTTCAATATGCCTAATGAGATGATAAGGCTTTCTACACAAGGCTGGTTGTGTTAAAAAACAGTCATCAAACATTTTTGAGACCACATTAATATAAAGTCAGCTGAGCTTTCCAGATTCATCTACAGCCATTCCCCTGTTGTACTCTATGCACCAGTGAAAATAAGGTGGTAGTCTTCCCATTTCCCCAAACATACAACGTTATCTTCATTCCTTAACTTTCTAGGTTTACCTGAATTTCCCTCAAGTGCTTGAAGGAGAATAATAAAAGATAGTAATGTTGATTTCACATTCACCAATACATACTAGGTGCTGTTCTATTTTACATATTAACTCATTTAATCCGTGGAGCAACCTTGAGTATGGATGCTGCAACTTTCCTCATTATAAAGTAAACTGAGGCCTATGGAAGTTAAGTACCTTGCCCAAGATTACGAAGTTGTAAGTAGCAGAGCCAGAATTTGAACTCAGACTCTGGTTCTTGGGCCCACACTCTTAATTGCTAAAGCTTTCTCATAGTTTAAGGCTAAACTCATTTCACCTCTACACTAAGAGTTCACTACAAACATTACCTCACATCTTTGTGCCTTAACAACTGGCACATACACATTTCTAGTTCTTATAATTTTCTGTGCATCGAACCCACTTCAATTCTCCTACATCCAGTCTGTGTATCCTAAGTAGAGACTGTTTCCTTACCTTAAAATTTGAATAACAACCCAGAGAGAGGTGTGTGAATATTAATGACAAATATAAGACATCTCACCTACTAGCTAGCACACTGAGGCGTAGCTTAGTTTTACAAATAGATCCTAAGGAAATTTCAGTATTAAAAATTCTAAAATGTATGCTAATTTGATAAATTAATGACTAAAATGAAATGCCTAGTGTAAGGGAGCTATCTTTTGGGGACCTAGAGGATACATGTGTTCATTACACAGCTCATCAAGTCCACAGCAAACCAAACTGAATCAAGAAAATGTAAAAAGGAAACACACCTCCTTCTTCATCCGGTAATACTCATCAATGGCATATTGGTATTTTGGGGTGCTGATGCCCAAAACAGACGCAATCTTCTCTCCCAGAAAGTCACACACTAAAGATACAAAAGTTAAATGGCTTACACAATTCCATAAATATTTCTTGAGCACCTACTGTGTGCAAGGCCCTGTAGAAATACAAGTTATATAGTAGTCCCTGCCCTCAGGGAGATTAAGAACATTCAGTATATCTCAGAAGCACTTACTGCTCTTTACAGGCTTCCAGTAACATTCCCTACTTACCACCAGGTATTAAAACTATTTGTTAACATGTTTATTTCTTTTTTAAAAAAGGTATACAAGAGAGCTGAGACGCCATGGGGCTTGAGGAGAGGAATGGCTTGCACCATACATCCACTGAGTGCCTGCCACGTGCCAGGCACTGTGAATGGTTAGATTCAGAGAGGTTGAAAAACTTGCCAAGCTAACAAAGCAAATCCAAAATTCAGGTCTGAATGGATAACAGATAAGTTCTCATGTTCTTTTCATTTCACCAGACTGTCTAGTATATACCAAGTGCTCAGTGTTTGTTAAATGAATGACTACACAAAATTAGATCTAATAAAATGCAGAAAGTTATAGAAGCTATGAAGGAGTTAAAATTGAAAGCCGGGGAAAGCTTTATGATTTAAAGTCTTTATTTAAAGTTAGCATGGTTAAATCATAAGATGATAATTCATTTCCTTCAAATGTAACTTAGCTGTATCTGTGCATCAAACCCACTGCAGTTTTCCTACATCCAGTCTGTGTGTCATTAAGTACAGAGACTTTTGTTTCCTTACCTTAAAATCTGAATAATAATCCAATAAAATATTAATGAAATAAAACAAATGAATAACTACAGGATTTAGAATAAGCAAAGAGAATGAGAACAATGTCAGTACAAAACCAAATGAGAAAATAACAAAATAGTTTCTAACAGAAGCTTCATATGACAAAATAACAAAATAGATGCTAACAGATAAAACTCATGACCATAAAAATTGAATCTAAACAGGCATTTTCAGTCCTTAGGAAAAAACACATAAACTGAAGCTGAAGAATATTTTAAGGTAAAGTACAAGTTAGATTAATACATTTCAATACTGGCTACCTTAAGAGTGATTAATTCCCTATTGTCTCTCATTCATTTCTGAAACACCTCATTTGGCAAAGCTCCTGGAGCATATTACATTAGATACACAACATTCAAACAGAAAGTAATACCTGAGAGGGTTGATGTAGCAGCACGAAGCATGTAAAACCATAAGTAGGGGCCCCAGGTAAGTTTTGTCTGCAACAAGAAATCTGGTAAGCAACATTCATACCTAAATTCATTCTATATATTCAGGCCAGAATTAAGTAATCAATACTTGGCAGACATTTAGAATATTCTATAGTACTACAAATAAATTACACTCAAACAAATATGTAAAGCCTTTATAGCTAGAACTCCACAAACACATTTCATGTTCACTCATATCACTACCACCACTTTAAGTCCCTGGAACAACCAAAAAAAGCAGCAGCCACTGAAATGGAGCTGGTTAAGTCACAGTCTTAAGTATTTAAGAGTTGATATTTCAGAGCCTTCCTTTTTCCGTCATGTTGCTTGTCTTCATTTTCACAAGCACATCAGAGAAAGTGTGTAGTCAATGGACAGGGACCTTAAAAAATCATACATAACAACACACTTAACAGTGCAGTGGGGAAATTAAGGTTCAGAGAAATTAAGCAGGATAAGAGCATAGCACACAAACTTTAATAGTGGGGAAATAAGTAACTTCTAAGTGGCAAGATGAGATTTTTGTTTCTTTAAGGACTAAAAAGGGATTAGACCGTATAACCCAAGACAAGTTCAGTGTATATTTTGTAGGCCAGGACCATTGGGAGAAAGCAATCTCCACTGTACACTTTCATAGTTAATCTTGGTGCTCTAAATCCATAGGATACTTTTGTGAACCCTACCACATGGATGACAGTTTGTATCCATGGATGAAATCGGCAATACAAGCTTGCTTCACTATACCAATACATATTTTTGTTTATCAAAAGAAAACATAGTATACACCCTGTAATCAATCAAATACATTAATCATTTTGATATTGGTTTGATAGGTTAATGATTACAAGGGCATTGGAAAAGCAAATACAGAATATCTGTAAGACTGAAAACCATAGACCCTAGAAACAACTCTCTCTTCTTTTTTGGTGAAAAGAAAGTATCTTCCTTTACTGATATATAAAGCTGATAAGGTTGTCAATTTTAATGCTATTTCCCTTTCTTCATAGCTGAGGGAAAACTTTAAAATTTTTTTTATTTTCCAATTACAGTTGACATTCAATATTATTTTATATTAGTTTCTGCTGTACAGCATAGTTAGACAATCATATAATTTAGTGATTCCCCCAATAATTTCAGTACTCACCTGGCACCATACCTAGCTATTACACTATTATTGACTGCATTCCCTATGCTGCACTTTACATCCCCATGACTGTTTTGTCCTACCCAATATGTACATCTCAATCCCTTCACCATTTTCACCCAGCTCGCAAACCACCCCCCAATCTGGCAACCAAGTTTGTTCTCTGTTATTTATGAGGTTATTTGTTTCGTTTGTTTTGTTTTTAGATTCCACATTAAGTGAAATCATATGGTATTTGCCTTTCTCTTTCTGACTTATTTCACTTAGCATAATACCCTCTAACTCCATCCATGTTGTAGCAAATGGTAAGATTTCATTCTTTTTTTATGGTCAAGTAATATACAATTGTACATATGTACCAAATCTTCTTCATGCAATCTGTTTCTGCGAAGGAAACCATCAACAAAATTAAAGGATAACTTACTGAATGGGAGAAGATATTCACCAATGAGACATCTGGTAAGTGGTTAATATCCAAAATTTATTAATTTTGAACTTATATAACTCAATGCCAATAAAACAATACAATTTAAAAATGGGCATAGGACCTGAATAGGCATTTCTGAAAGAGGACATACCAATGGCCAACAGACATATGAAAAGAAGCTCAATGTCACTAATCAGCAGAGAAATGCAAAAACCACAATGAGAGGGAAATTTTTTATCCTGATGGTTTTCGAAGTCATTTTGAGTGACCACTGACTGCCTTATCAACTTGTTTTTATCCAAGTTAATTTAAAAAAATAAAATTGTGTCTTATATATTTCTGCATGTATGCATGCATGAAGAATATCTGTAAGACTGGGAAAGATGTGCTAAAGTAAAGCACAGAACAGAAAACATAAACACCATCTTCCCATGAAAAGCAGGTATGCCAACTGCTGTGACAGTATTCCTGAAAAAGACACACAAAAGTAAGGTAGTTCCTTAGTCTTTACTTATGCTAGAATGAATGTCCTAGCAAACAAATAAATTCAATTAGGATGATACTGTATATTTCTGACTCCTTGATATATCTGCTATATCTTCTATACTTAGAGGGGGAGGTGTCTCTTATGTGGGGATAAGAGCTATTTTAGGGCCTCTGTTTAAGATATTCTGACCTTGGTATTTACCTTACAATATTTACAGCAAATGAACAATGCAGAAATACAGGGAATAAAGCCAATTCTGTAACACATGGGAAATGATAGGGCCAAGAAAGTAAGAAAAGCATAAAAAAGAACTAACTATAGAAAAGGAATAAGCATGCCGTTGGAGGAAAGCATATATTTCTCAGTGGACCAATTCTCCAGGGTTGGTTTTTTTTACAGAGGATAACTGCTTATATCCAGGCTGTGACTATAAAAGAATCAAACTTGCTCCAGAGCTGAGAAACTGGATAAGGATTCCTGAATAACATCTGTCATTATTACACAGCTATACAGAATAAATGTACAGGGTCCTTTGGATAGTGACCTTACTAAATCAAAAGGAGGGGTGGCTCAAGAGCCTACACTAGAACCCTGTGACAGCCGCCAGCATCACTGCCACTACCACCATCCCAGTAGGAGGAGAACTAGGACAGGATCTTGGGTCTTCAAGACTTGCATTTTATAGGGTAAATTCAAGTTGATTCATTTTTTCCTCTCCAAAAATTTAGGTGTTTATTTATTCCTGAATAAGTATCCACCCCTCTCTTCCTTAATAGGGAATTATTTAGACTTGCTATCTCCTGTGTTTGAACAAATTATTTTTAGATTATGAAAGTAATAACTACTAATTCTAGAACAGTTAGGAAATGAAGTATAAAAAAAATTGTCACCCAGTTTTCAACTCCCCATAGATAATTATGATTAACATCTTAGTAATTTTCCCTATCTTTTTCTGAGCACACATGTGTTTTAAAACATTGCTGTCCTTTATCCTCGGTTTTTCCCATTTAATAATAAAATATTAAGCATATTTCCCAAATGCTTAAATTCCTAAAGTGAATAACAAGGCCAAAATATATAATCATTTGGAAAGCTCTTCCTTCAGATTGCAAAACTTTACACCAGGAAATTTACCAATACTCAGCAGAATGTGTAAGATGTCAATTCCCTAGTATCCTTACCACAGCACATTGTCCTTTCCTTTTTAAAGATTTTACAGGTGGGGCCCTGGCTGAGTGGGGCTCAGTTGGTTACAGCACAGTCCTGATATACCAAGATTGCAAGTCCAATCCCAGCCAGGGCACATACAGTAAGCAACCAATGAATGCATAAGTGGAACAACAAATTGTTGTCTGTCTCTCTCTATGCCTGTTTCTCTCCCCTCCCCACTCGAATCAATAAATTAAAAAAAATTTGTCAGTGAAAAATGAGCCCAGGTAATTCTGAGTTCTTACTGTATTACAAAAGGCATCACACCATTTATACAGGTTAATAATTATATGCATAACCAATTTTCTTTAAAGATTTTATTTATTTTTAGAGAGAGGGAAAAGGAGGAAGAGAGGGAGAGAAACATCAATGTGTGGTTGCCTCTTGTACATCCCCAACTGGGGACCGGGCCCACAACCCAGGTACGTACCCTGCCTGGAAACTGAACCAACGACCCTTTGGTTCGCAGGTCAACACTCAATCCACTGAGTCACACGACCTAGGATGCATAACCAATTTTTTAAA